ATGGAGCGAGAGAGGAGGTGAGAGTTTGTGCTCGGAGGTAAGAGGCTGAAGAGCCCATCTGGCTTCCAATCAGAGCGTTGCCACCAGCACATGTGTTCACGGCACGTTGGAGGTGGCGGCTCAATCAACGAGGGTGCATCCCTCTCCGACCTCCTTCGCGTCACCCCGCACTCTGGCAACTTTATATCACATAATCGAGCCTTGAAGCCGCCGCTCCGTACCTCGTTTACCCCTACCGCCGCCCCGCATCGGTTCCCATCTCTCCTCCGCCCGTCCGCCCTCATCTTTCTTTCTCCGTTTCTTTCGACGGGGCCTCATCCTTTCATCCTTCAGACCGGCAGCGCGGCTCCTCTCGAGCTTCTCCGTCTCCTCGCCTCCTCCCGCGCTTCCGCGTTTACGAGCTTTCATCCCTCTTTCTTCCGTCGATCCTTCGCCTGCGAGCTGCCCTTCGTCGGGTCCGACGGTCTCTCTCCTCCTCTCCTTCTTTCTCTCCTCTTCCGAGCGACTCTAACGCGCATCAACGACAGTACCTAACGGCGCTAACGGCGGGATAAGTAATTGCACGCGTCGCGCAGGGGAAAATGCATCGCCCGTTGCGAGAGAAACGGCGCGGTAACGGTGAAAAGTAATCACCTGCCGAGGCTGGGTACAGCCACCTACAACGCCGGTGAACACGACGAGGGAGGGGGCCGAAGCTACGACTATCGACCGGAAGGATCCGGCCGGCGATTAGCTCCTCGAACGAGCTACGCGGCGAGAACTATAAATTGTAATAGAGAGAGAGTCTACACGGCAGTCTTTACGTAATTACCGTGGCCGCCTCGTGCTCGCGGCGTTTACATCCTCACGCTCCTCCGTTTCTTTTGCGCCTCGCTCGTTTTCGGCCCTTAAAGGACTCGCGGGCTTTTATTGGCCTAACGAGATAACAGAAGTGAGAATCACGAAGTAATAGTTCAGCGCGAGATTTGTTTTTTTTTTCTTTATTTTCAAAATATAAAAAAAATTTTTTAAACAATTTCTAGTGTACAAAATATTTAATTTGTTGAAATAGATGCTAGTTTTTTTTTACGATTTGTCCTGAAAATTGCAGAGAGTTGATCTAAAAATTATATTATTTATAACAAATTCAAAAAACTGTAGTATACTTATTTAAAGCTTTGTTTGTAGTTTATATAGAGTCACATAAAATATTCTTGTTGCATCGTTTTGCCAAGCCCATATGCGATGCATAACATCTGTGCTGCGCTACTTAATGGTATGGAAGAGACGAATTCATGCGTAATATTTCTGAGGCGATTTGGCTTGGACGTCCTTTTTGAAGCGCCATTTAAGTAAATTGGGTCCTCTTTTCTCATGCAGATACGATGCCCCTTTCGGTTGGATTGAATTTAAACGGGTCCACTCATGGCATGCTAATTTGCTCACATCTGCGTTAATGCATAATGCTCTCATTTAAAGAACACCAGCCCTGTACGAGCTGTTCTATTGTTAATACATCAATTCACCATTATTTTTTATATTTACACAAGACTCACTCTGTAATATAATACATTTCTTCCCTGCTATTTTATTGTAACATTTGCGATGACTAATATTAATTTAGCACTGATACAATATTAATATTATGATTAACAAAGCTTCACTATTATATTCTTCAATACGTACATAACAAACAAAATTAAATATGTATAATTTTTAATCCTTTCTTTTGTAAATAAATTTATTGGCATAAAATTTATCGTAAAAAAATTTCACTGATTTTGTTTGGATATATCACGATTGATTAATTTGCATAGAGGAAAATGAAAAATATGTAAACATGCTAATATTGCCATTTAATAATGCTAATTTGCTAATTGAATTATACATATTAGATGCGTCGCGAAATCGTACCGGTAACCCTACGCATTAGAGATTAAAGTTTTAGCATTCTAATTAATTCACGCCTCTCATATGTGAGATATCTGTGTTGTTACGACGGCGTTCCATAGAAATGCAAATGATACAGAGTCGCGTGTTTACCTTAGTAATATCCCATCAGTCCACCGCGTCACGTTGGTTTTGCATTAAGCGTGGTCGAAAGGCGTTATTCCTCGAATGCGTGCTCGGAAAGGAGACAACAATAGAGGAAAGAAATGCACGGTTCTCAGCTGTTCGCAAAGAAAGAAAAATGATCCACACCGTTCAAGAGATCACTTTTCGGAAGATCAACAGCTTTTGCTGTGCGTGAAACGGGGCACTTTGTTTGGTCGATAACAATCATGAATCTGGCATGATTATTCGCGCTGTTTTGTATGGAAACTGCATATTGTGTTTGAGTTCTCGCACGACAGATGACTAATTCTGCTCTTTTGCACGCAAATGACTAAAAAATTACTTTTTTTTTATTTGTTTGTTTTTTCCCAATAAATAATATTTCAAAATTGTTTAAAAGACGTCAGAAACGTGAAATTAAAATGAAATAAAAATGATTGAGGCTTGAGTTAAGAAACGCGAATTTTATTACGTGCGAAAAAAGAAAGTCTTTACTCGCCGAAATTTCATCAAAGACTTTGCCAAGTTTTTGAGACAGTCGATTTTCAAGAAGACTGAATCAAGCTATAAACAGCTGATTCCTTAGATTGTCTATACAATAGACATCGCGGTGTGCGAAGCGAGCGAGGAACGAAGGCCGCGGTTCGAAAAAGTAATCACACGTTTTTACTGCCGATTAATGTGATAATATACTGAACTGCAAATTATATATATTTCTATTCGGTAAATATATGTAACACATTCATCGTCGTCTTAATTTAATATTATTATTTCAAAATAATATTATTAATCATATATAAAAATTAAACACACTTTATTGTACACAATTTTTATTAGGAATTCCAAGTGACATTTTGTTTTTTAGTGCAGTAGAACTATAAGGGATGTGCTTATGAAGCATTGTGTTTTAGCATTTTGACATTACTATTCTATGCAGCAATTAAATTTTTTTATTTTTTTAGATGTTAATTCATTGCTTGTCTGGTTCAGCTGTTGTTGTTGTTGTTGTTGTTGTTGTTATCCTATTCAAGTTTCCTACCAAATATATGTATACCATGTTCCTTTGCACAGAATAATATATCGTTATTATCGAAGAATTTACGAATAAGCAATCAAATTTAAGTTAAACCTTACAGACTCCTGAACCAAGGCGGCAACCACGATTAGCACAATCAGACACAACAATGTTAACTTCATGTTGCAATCTTGCACGTACAATGATTGCTTTACAGTGCAGCAGTAGTATTTATACCGCATTAAATGACGATTTATCTATTTGATAAGTATTGACATTGAGTGACATTGACATATCGCATATATTTTTGGCATTTAAGTAGCACACGTCATACGTATACTGCTTAATGAGAGTCATTGTTGATTTCGCAAAGTGTGCAGATATCGAACAAGTGTATCAAATAATTGGTCTTACAAGAAAACAACTTTGCGAAAAATGTATGGCCTTCATATAATATAAAATTGTACATATAATTGCTGTACAGTGCAGCAGTATATCGTATAGTTAAATAGCAGTTATATCGTATAGTTAAATGACGATCTATTTGATAAGTATTGATGATGAGTGGTATCGCGTCTATTTTGCCATTTTAGTAGCGTCATACGCATACTGCTTGTAATGAGAGTCATTATTGATTTCGCAGAGTGTGCAGATATCAAACAAGTGTATCAAATAATTGGTCTTACAAAAAAACAACTCCGGAAAAACCGTATAGTCTTCGTATAATATAAAATTGTACATAAATTACGTTACTTTTTCTATTCTAAATGTTTTAACAATTAATTAATAATTTTGGTAGCAATTTTGGTCTTAATATTACATTGTGGACACAAATATTTATTTATTGCTATTATTGGCTGCGCCGAATAAATCAGATAATAAGAAATTTTTCTCGCGCGCTCTATTCTGCAATAAATCTCGCGACTTGTCAGAAAAATCGCTTTATCTTCCTCTGCGCGGGCTCTCGCGTCGAATTAAGTGAATGCAGTTTGTTTGCTCGTGTCGTCAGTATTTTAGGGACGGTGCAAGGTACAGGGGGGTTGAAAGGCCAGCCGACGGCGTCGGGTGGGGGTGCGCTGTGCATGGGCTCGCGAGATACGAGAAATAATGGCAGCACGTATACGCACGCCGCTTGTACACACGAGGCCACATTCGCCGAGAGAAACTGACCGCTGAACAGTTCCAATGGGGCCTGGTCACCACTCCGGCGGTAATAGCCCCGACAATAATCATTTATTGTTCCTCAATGGCACCGACGCGGTGGGTCGACGCTTGGCTCGCCGGATAGGAAGGAATAAAGAGAATAACAATTCTTTGCCGACATCTTTTTCAGTCTTACGACTGTAACAATGTGTTCTATATACGAGGGTAAATTTGAAATTATCCGCAATTTTTTTAAGTAAAACATAATTTGGATATTGCGTATAACGAAATATTATTATGTGTAACAAATATTATATTACACAAAAATAATTACTTCTATAAAATACGATAGAAATTAGCGAGCTGAAAGACCAAACGCTGGTTATTCGCGATGGTATATTCTCTAACAATGTTTACTTACTCGACTGTATACAGATGTTTCGGTCATTCTGCTGTTTGACTCTATTTTCGTCGTTTTATATCTCATGAATATTTAAAAGTGATTTCTGCTTTAAAATATTTGCATTTTTTAATCTTAACGTATTACATATTGCATAGATTTTAATCTCCCATAAACCGGTTTTGTGTATGCTCGCCAAAGAGTATTTCTTGACCATATTTCATAGAACAAAACTGTATAATTTGATTTATGATGTGGTCTTTATCGAACCGAGTTGTAGAGCAGAAAGGTGTCAAGTTCAGATCAAAGAAACTAATGTCATAGTTTTATCTATCGCATAAGAGCGGCCGGCATTACGTCGTAGATCGAATTCCTTCCCCCTTCCACAAGCGCTTGTGGAATCAGTCTGAAGATAAGCTTAACCCCTTCACTTAACATTCTTTTCGTCTGGAAAACGACCCGTCATATTGAGTTTCTCGAGATAGTGTCTTACCGTCTCGACCTGTGTTTCCCAGTGATAAATAGTCCCTTTCCTGAACGACTATTGCACCAAGCGTATTCTCAAATGTAAGGTGTATGAAGAGTTAAATACGATTCGATATTTCACGTTAATATATTATACACGAAAGAAACATTGTTATAAATATATTAAATCAAACTTTAAAACATTCTTTTACAAGCTACTACATTGAATATTACATTATTATTTTGCGCATTGCGATTAATTCTGATTAACTGGCATAAACCTGTTGATCGCGTTTATTTATTTGCAGTTTATTTAAGTATTTGATACGTTATCATTACTGGATTTACAAATAATTTTGAAATTTTACTTTAATATTATATAAATTGTCATTTTTCAGTTTTAAAGACCAGCATTCTAAGTTGCGTAGAATATTTTACGTAAACAATTTATATTCTGAAAGTCAAAATTTAAAAATTAGTGAATCAGTTGAAAATTTAATATAATTACATTTCTCTTTTACCAGTCTGGCGGTACATCTTTTGTTTATGCAGAGGAAACGCGTGGCGTCCGATACATCTTAAGTAATGCTAATTCGTGTTCTTGGTCTGCATTGCTCTCTACGTAGTGACGGATTATTAATGCAACCAAGCATGTGTACGTTTCCGTAGAATCAAATCTATGTGTGTATATACATAGGGCATGGGCAATAAACACTCGATGAGCAAACGGTGTGCGCTCGACATTTGATTGGGCGAACCGCGTAATGACGGGGTACTGTCATGCAAATCTTGTCAGCACCCCGGCGCTTATGGCTGCGGGCCTATTACGCCCGTAGGCATTCACCCATCATCCTGTTTGGTGACTGTAAATCGATGATTTGTGAATCCTAGAAACTTAGCGCGCCTCCGAACCGACGGTTTATCGACGTCGCATTTGCACAAAGTTACATATAACACGATTATTATATTTCAGATATGAAATAAAGAAATTCAAATACGAAATAAATCGTTCAGCGCGAAAGCAGAGAAAGGGACGATTTTACTTGATTCGTCTTATCCAAATTAAGTTTTTTGCTATTAATATGTGTAACGTTATTGTATTAGTATTTCTGATATCGCATTGCAGGGTGAAACAAATTACTACGATTAAATGAATAACAATGACTATTTCAATTCACGGTCGAACGGCCGTCAACGATTCAATGCTTTTGCACCGCGCCGTGCATCGATTCGCTCTTTTTCATCTATTCCTCGCGCGCGCGGATCGACAAAACCCACCGGCCGCCTAAAATACCGAACCATGTGGTGACCATGGCCGATGTCCAAAGTAGAGGAATGGCAACGCGTTTATAATTTTTTTTTCCTATCATACGCATAGGCACGAATACAAATCCGCACACACGACTGGTGCCACCCCCGCCACCGCGGTCGGAGGGAATTTATATTTGGCTCGGCGCGTTATCGTTGATTTATCGCGAGACCCAGTTTTCCACATTCCTCCGCACCTCGCATAACCATTTTTCCACCTGCACGTTTTGGGAAAGAGGAAAAAATGGCGACAAGTTATCGCCGCGTGAAAGCACATGCACGGTGATCGGTGGTTTTCGATATGTCATGTGTAATAATGCGACTCGTATACCGTAAAGCCGTGACAGGAATGACAATGCTGCGCGATATTTTAAAAATCTAACGATCGCATCGCGTTTTATTATAAAATGCGCACAGAGACGAATCAAACTGAACGATGATTCGTTCGTATGGAATTGCATGGTTAATTCGAATCGATAAATATTTATTGCTATATTATTTGAAGGGATACATTCTGGAATAGTCATATTTGATTATTATAATGAAAATAGTAAGAAATTGTTACCAATTTATATAATTAATACTTTGAAAGAATGCTGCATTAGTTTACGGAATTTTTTCATGGACATTAAATTAGATTCAATCAAATAATTTGCAAAGATCTAATCTATCTAATTTATTAATATGCTTAGTGTTACAAATCGAATCATTTATTTTGTCAAAGGCATCCAAAAGATGAATTAAGCTGGCATAATATTCTTCAAAATTACTGTTCCGAAAAGCCTGTGAAAAAGTAGGCGAGTAAGCGGCATAAACGCTGCTAGGTTTCAAAGGTCTTTAGGAAATGAAAAAAATTGCACGTATAATCAAATACAACCTTGACCGTTCTTACGAAATAACGAATTTTATCGTGATAATTATGATAGTTTAGCTTTCAAAGGCCTTTTAATTGTAAAATACGTACTAAATTTCCAGGCAATTACAACGAATTTTATCGCAGTAGCAACGATAACTCGGCTTTTGAAAGCCTTCTGAGACACGTGCTAAATTTTTCTAAAATTAAAAATATGTCTTTTTATATAATAATAATTATATAAGATATACTATTGCTACTGTATCATACACAATGAACTTAATAATTCTATTTCAAGCGATATTACACATGATGTGAGTTTTTCGATATGCAGTACAATTTTTTCTCGGTTTGTTCTTCGCGGTTCAGTGCAAATCTTGATTAGAATATACGTATTTCGGAATGTAGGTGAGTTTATTGGTACCAGCGCCCATGCGTATCTACAATAACAGGATCATGAGCTTATAGCCGGAGCTTAAGGGGTTCGATCAATTATTGTTCGCCTCCTATCTACGTCACGCTGAGCTAGAGCATCGGCTGACCGATAACAGGCACACTCTAAACTGCATTCACGCATACACTTTCCGTTATCAGCAAGTCGTCTTCAAATTCAAGGAATAATTATTATTCAA